CCTCCTCCGTCTTCTCCTCCTTCATTTCAGATAAAGACTCTCTAAGTTTAAAATGGTAGATCCAACCTAAAAAAAATATAATGACTATATTATTTCCCGTTTTTAGATTCTGATACATATTTATTGAACTTCAATCAGATTAACAATTGGACCCATTGCTTTAAACTTAGAGTCACTTCACGGACACATGTCAAACTTATTATTTAAAAACATAACTGGGGGAAGAAAAGATGGCTGCAAAGTAACTGCTGTCTACATGCCCTTGTTCCCAGCCAGGGACTGGATTTACAGCTAAAATACTGTGTAATCAACTTGAAAACCAAGAGAAGTGTAGCTGACTGGACATATTATATCTAAGTAGCACCGAAGAAACAACGTGGAGACTGGTCTAGCAGAAGCAGACACAAACAGTGAATACATGGTGGTAACGGTTTACCTCTATAGACACCCAGCCTAAAGGGTTAACAGTTGTGCTACAGCGCCCATCAAGACATCTTGAGACTGCACCTGCACAGCAGATTGCACAGTATGGTTAGGGTTGAGCCTCATAGTCAACCAGACTGAGGGTCAATCCCAACCATAAAAGGGCTATTAGCAATCAAGACCCAATTACAACAGGAGGGTTGAAACAACCCACACAAGAGACATTTCTAGGGAATCTAGCTCAGAAGATCAAGGAGACTGCACCACTGGGAGCCACAGGACACCTACAAGAGAAGGTCACCCCATCAAAACTGGGAGTCATAGCAATCCTTTCTAAAACATAGAAACAAATACAAAAAGACAACCAAAATGGAGAAAAAAAGAAACAGGCCCCAAATGAAAGAACAGGAAGACACTCCAGAAAAAGAGCTAAATGAAATACAGGCAAGCAATATGTCAGCTAGAGAATTCAAAGTAATGGTTATAAAAATGTTCAGAAAACTTAGTGAGAGTAACACCACCATGAAGAAGGATATAAAAACCATGAAAAATAATAAGCTGAAAATGAAAAAATGCCACATCTGAAATACAGAATATACTAGAAGGAATTGTCAGTTGACTGGATGAGGCATAGGACTGAATCAGTGAATTAGAAGACAAAATAGAAAAAAATCACTCAATCAGAACAGAAAAAAGACAAAATAATTAATAAGCAGAACAGTTTAAGGGAGCTTTGGGACAACAGGAAATGGAACAATACCTACATTATAGGGGTGACAGAAGGAGAAGAAAGTGAGCAAGGGATAGAGAACCTGTTTGAAGAAATAATGACAGAAAACTTCCCTAACCTGGTGAAGGAAAATGTCACACAAATTCAGAAAGCACAGAGAGTTCCCAACAAAATAAACATAAAGAGGTCCACACCCAGACACATCATAATTAAATGGCCAAGATTAAACACAAAGAGAGACTCTTAAAGGCAACAAGAGAGAAAGGCAGTCAGTTACATAAAAGAAAGTTCCCATTAGGTTGTCAGCTGATTTCTCAACAGAAAAACTTCAAGCCAGAAGGGACCCGTGTGAAGTATTCAAAGTAATGAAAAACAAGGATCTGCAACTAAGATTGCTCTGTCCAACAAGACTGTCATTTAAAATCAAAGGTGAAATAGAGAGCTTCCTAGACAAAAGAAGGCTATCATCAAACCAGCATTGCAAGAAATGCTAAAGGGACTTCTTTAAGAAGAAGAAACATATAGAGAGGAACATAGCATTAAAATGGTAATACATAAGTACTTATCAATAATAACCTTAAATGTAAATGGACTGAATGCTCCAATCAAAAGTCATAGTCTAGTTGGATAAGAAAACCTGACCCATATATATGCTGTCTACAAAAGACCCACCTCAGAACAAAATATTCATACAGAGTGAAAGTGAAGGGATCGAGAAAAAATTTCCATGCAAATGGAAATGGAAAGAAAGCTGGGGTGGCAATACTTACACCTGACAAAATGAGCCTCAAAATAAAGGCCGTAACAAGAGACAAAGAGGGTCACTGCATAATAATAAAGGGATTGATCCAAAAGAGGAAATGACCCTTATAGACATATATGCACCCAATATAAGAGCACCTAAGTATATGAAAAATTTTTGGTGGACTTTAAGGGAGAAGAGGTTGACAGCAATACAATCATAGTAGGAAACTTTAACACCCCACTGTCAACAATGGAGAGCTCTTCCAGACAAAAAAAATCAACACACTAGACCAGATAAAATTAACTGATATTTACAAAATATTTCACCCCAAAGCAGCAGAATGTACATTCTCAAGTGCACATGGGACATTCTCAAAGACAGACCACATATTAAGACAGAAGTCTCAATAAATTTAAGAAGATTGAAATCATGTCAAGCACCTTCTCTGACTGCAACGGCATGAAACTAGAAATTGACCATGACAAAAAACCTCCAAAATATTCAAACATATGAAGGCCAAATAGCATGTTATTAAACAACAAATGGGTTACCAATGAGACCAAGGAAGAAATAAAAAATTACCTCGAGACAAACAAAAATGAACATACAACCACCCCAAATCTATGGGACACAAAGAAAGCAGTCCCGAGAGGGACGTTCATAACTTTACAGGCCTACATCAAGAAACAAGAAAAATATCTAGTAAACAGTTTAACTCTACACCTAAAAGAACTGGAAAAAGAACAGCAAGAAAATCCCAGAGTAAGTAGAAGAAAGGAAATAATAAAGATCAGGACAGAAATAAAAGACATAGAGACTAAAAATAAAATACAAAAGATCAGTGAAACCAAAAGCTGGTTTTTTGAAAAGATAAATAAGACTGATGAACCTTTAACCAGATGCATCAAGAAACAAAGAGAGTAGACACAAATAAATACAATCAGAAATGAAAGATGAGAGGTAACAGCAGACATAACAGAAATACAAATGATTGTCAGAAAATATTACAAACAACTATATGCCAACAAAATAGACAACTTGGGTGAAATGGACAAATTCCTAGAAACATACATCTTCCAAAATTGAATCAGGAAATAGCAGAACATCTGAACAGGCCAATGACAATTAATGAAATCAAAGCAGTAATAACAATAATAAAAAAATTCCAGCAAACAAAAGTCCTGGACCGGATGGCTTCACAGGTGAATTTTACCAAATATTCAAGGAAGAACTAACACGTATCCTCCTCAAGCTATTCCAAACAATTCATGAGGAGGGAAGACTTCCAAGCTCTTTTTACCAGGCCAGCATCCTCCTAATCCCCAAACCAGATAAAGACACTACAAAGAAAGAGAATTACAAGCCAATATCCCTGATGAACATAGGTGCTAAAATCCTCAACAAAATATTAGCAAACTGGATCCAGCAAGACATTAAAAAGATCATACACCATGCCCAAGTAGGATTTATTCCAGGGATGCAGGGCTGGTACAATATTCACAAATCAATAAATGTGACACATCACATAAGCAAAATGAAGGAAAATAAGCACATGGTCATATCAATAGACGCAGAAAAAGCATTCTACAAAATCCAGCACCCATTTTTGATAAAAACTCTCAACAAAGGGGGAATAGAGGGATCATACCTCAACATAATAAAGACCATATATGACAAACCCACAGCCAACATCATACTCAACGGGCAAAAACTAGAACCATTTCCACAACACAGGGGTGTCCACTCTCACCCTCTTATTCAACATAGTACTGGAAGTCCCTGCCACAGCCATCAGACAGGAAGAAAACATAAAAGGCATCGAAACTGGAAAAGAGAAAGTAAAACTGTCATTATTTGCAGATGACATGATATTGTACGTAGAAAACCCTAAAGACTCCATCAAAAATCTACTAGATTTAATAAATGAATCAGCAAAGTTGCAGGATAAAGCTATAGATTCAATATAATTCCTATTAAAATACCAATAGCATATTTTACAGAACTTGAAAAAATATCCCCGAAATTTATATGGAATCATAAAAGACCTGTTGCAATAGCTATAGCAATCTTGAGAAAGAAGAACAAATTTGGAAGGATCACAATACTTGATATCAAACTATACTACAAAGCCACTGTAATAAAAACAGCCTGGTCCTGGCATAAGAACAGGCATATTGATCAATGGAACACAACAGAGGGCCCAGAAATCAACCCAACCCAAGCCATTATGGTCAATTAATATTTGACAAAGGAGGCAGGAGCGTACAATGGAGTAAAGACAGTCTCTTCAATAAATGGTGCTGGGAAAATTGGACAGGCATATTCAAAAAAATGAAACTAGACCACCAACTTACACCACACACAAGAATAAACTCAAAATGGATAAAACATTTAAATGTAATTCATGAGACCATAAAAACCCTGAAAGAAAACATAAACAATAAAATCTCAGACATCTTTCATAGCAGTATTTTTACTGATATGT